AAACAAATTTTTTTGTGAAAAAAATGAAATTAAAATTCTAATCGAGACTTTTTATCAATGTATCGCGCTCGTTTTATACCGAGGAAAATACTTTTTATATACAAGTAATATGCATAAAGTCCGACCTTGTTTGTTCCTCAGTGTCAGTAGTAGGGGCAGTGGTTTCAACTGGAAAAGGTATTTAGAGAAGTGCAATGCTGGACCCAAGTGGCAGTAGTGCATGAAAGGTGCAACGGAAACTACGTAACGTGAAATCGTCCGTCGAACTCTCTCCGGCAAGAGGCACAGTGAGCAAACGGTAACTGGTAAGCGAGGATCATTGCGGATCCCTTGATATCCGCTCCAACTTTCGATTCGTACCTCCTTTAAATTGTTCGTGAAACTGTGCCCAGTGATTTTACGTTTTGTGATTTACATCGTTGATGATCATCACTATCACTGCTGAAACGATCAGACCGACCAATTTCTAATTTCTTACGATAACTGTTTCGCAAAATTTCTCATTATAAATCGTGTCATATACTTTTATGCTTCGACTACATGAACTCGCTGCGTAACATATGATACTAACAGTAAATCTGTCCGCTTTATTAATTTAAAAGATGAGAGACTCATCAGTTTGGTCACGGTATACGACATGTGTATATAAAATACTATATATGTGTCAGTTGTATTAATATAATATAATACAGTTCACGATGTGAAAATTTTATGAACCGTCGACTCTTGATCGTATAAATTTTTTTCCATTTTGGATCCTGCGATGCATACGTCATGTTAAATGCAGTCGATTATTATTGGAAGCCGTTTTGGAAGTCGTGGTTGCACGAGATTCAACGTCCGTAATGCGTGTCCCATTTCTCTGCTTTCGATTTCATCTTAATGGATGCGTTACGTGAATTCGCGAGTTCCGGCTTCCGTGGGGGCATGAAATTTCGGCAAACCGGTTCTCAATGCGAAAATTCCTGGCTCGACGAAACGAGGAAAAACGGTGGTTCTCGAGAGAGGAGAAGAGAAGGAAGAGGGAGAGTTTCGATTATACAACGCGAAAACGTGCAGCGGCGTCGTCGTTCCGCGGTAACACGGAAGAACTTTCTTCGACGCCGTTCACGCGGTGCCAGTTATACTTCCATCAACCCATTAAGTCTCAAGTGAAATAAGTCGAGTCTTACTACCAGTCAATAAAAACTATCACATATAATAACTCGTTCAAGCTGTTTCCATTGAAAAACAAGACGTTCCAGATCGTAATCAAGTCATAGTATACCACAGAAAAAATATTCTCGATTATATTTAGTCAAGGATAGTGAAATGAAAATGCCCAAGTCTGTTTTTATCTATTCAATTTTATTTAATATTAAACGGAGAGGTGAATAATTAACAATCGAATGGATAGACTTTGAGACTGGATCTACCAAGGGTGGTTAAAATAACTCGTTTCGCATTTCTTACAATCATTATTCATTTTCAGTGCATTCTGTTTTCTAAAATTTTGTATGACATATCCAAAATGTATGCAAAGAACTAGTTTTGTAAAACAGAGTTCTGTAAACAGTTCTTTTTCGTCTTCTTTATAGTTATTATATTATTGATGTTATTATCATTGTCAGTTTATTGTTCAGTTTTCACTCATAAAAATTGCTGTCTTTTCTTGAATAACTTATTAATTAATCGAGAAACAAG